CTGGACCTGGCAGCTTGCTTTCTCACTTTCCCTCTGTCTCTCTCTCTCTCGCTCTCTCTCATGCTCTGTCCCTCTCTGGTCAGATTAAAATAAATAATTAAATAAATAAAATTAAATAAAAATAATTAAACAAAGAACTAATACTACTGCTCTCTTCATCAGATATTCTGCCTCTGCTATGTGTGCTGTTGTGGGTTTATTTAATTTTTTTATTTCAATTTATTTATTTACATTCATTCACTGTACATCATTACAGTATACAAAATGAGATTTCCCATCCAGGATACACTGTATGTTGGCTCAATCAAGCACATCAACATACGTGTTATCGTCAACAAATAATTTTCCATTTCTTGTTTCCTGTATATTTTACTTATTTATTTATTTTATTTTTTTAGATTTTTGCCATAGGGCACATGCATTTGCCAGAGAGAGACAAAGACAGAAAGTGAGAAGTCACTAGGGTGATGGCCACACTGCAATCACTTCCCCTCCACTCTCCTCTCAGGATTTTGAGCATGCACGCACGGTACCTGGCATGTTCTTCAAGTCACCAGATCCAGGATTAGGACTACAGAGTCAGCCATGTAGGATCCAGTGCCTTAATACCACTCCATGTGTTGATTTTTTTTTTCATTTTTTTTCCATGTGTTGATTCTGCTATGTTTTTTTTTTTTTAAGAATTATTTTACTTAACTTTATTTATTTACTTATTTTAATTTGACCAGAGAGGGACAGAGTGAGAAAGAGAGAGAGGGAAAGTGAGAAAGCAAGCTGCCAGGTTTGGGACTCAAACCATAGTCGGCTGTGTGGGAGTCCAGCGCCCTTAACTACCACACCACCTGTTGGCTCCCCTCTGCTATGTGGTTTTAAAAACCTGGTAACCTGGAACACCCAGTAGCCTGGTTGTTAAGGTGACTGGATCCCACACGGCTGACTATGCAGTTCAAAGAGTGTGTGTGTCCACAATCCCGAAAGAAGGGAGAAATGGAGAAGGAATTGTAGCATGACCACGTCCCATGGCCCTTCTTGCTTTCCCAGTCCCCTTCTCCCTCAACCCCAGGAGAGCATGCACCCTCTGGGGTGCGGGGTGGGGGTGGGGAAGTGCCTGATACTCTGGCACTGTAAAATTACTTCAGTACTGCAGTATTTTGTTTGTTTTTGTTTCTTAATTTGCTATAGAGTCCATGCACTTGCAGGTGAGAGAGAGAGAAAATGAGAAAAATCATCACTCTCCAGGGGGGATGGCCATTCCACAATCCCTTCTCCCCCTTCTCCTCCAGCGTCTGCTAGGGATTTGGGCATGCACGCACACTCACCTGGCATGTTTCCCAAGCTGCTGGGTCTGGGACTCCAATCCACAGTCGGCCATGTGGAATCTAGCTGCCTTAACCACCACGCTACTGGCTGACTCTCGAGATTTGAATTGAAAAGCAGAAATAAAATATAAACCATTTCTGAATTAATGTACAGCTGGGATTACAAGTCTCTCACAGATATGAGGCTAGTCCATAAAATGCTCTTCTGAAAGGGTAACATTTACTATCTACGGGGTAGCATCCATCTCTGCCTCATCAGCGGTCTCACATGAGTGAATTTAATGTACAAGCATATACCAAGGAAAGTCTTAGAACTAAAAAATAAGCCTTCAGTCATTCAAGCCTCTGCGGAGGAGTTGGGGAGGGAAGCGGCAGCCTCAGCACCAGCCTGCTGAGAGGTGTTTTTTTCCCTCACTATAAGAGAGATGGAGAGAGAGTGCATGCACACCCCTCACGGGCCCAGTCATGCCGCGATCCCTCTTCCTCCGAATCTCCATCCTAGAAGGATCCTGCACATGCGTGTGCCCAGGTGTCCATCTCAGTTCTTCTAAGTTCACCATGGTGCTATGGGGCTATAGTCCTTGTCCATTTTATTGTTGTTTTTTGGTTTTGGAGAGGTTTTTGCGATAGGGTGCGTGCACTCAACTGAAAGACAGAGACAGAGAGATAGAAAGTGAGAAATCATCCCCTGGGGGTGGGAGGATGGCCACACCGCAATCTCTTCTCCTCCATTCTCCTCTCAGGATCTTGGGCACATACGCACACGCGCCAGGCATGAGTTTAAAGCCATCCAGTCCGGGACACGAACCGCGGTTGACTACGTGGGAGTCCAGCAACATAGCCATTATGCAAATAATTATTTTTTAAAATTTAACACATTAAAAAAAAATGCCAGACCCAGATTTTGGACCATGAGGTGATCCCATGTGGAATCCAGCTTCCTTAACCAGCACATCACCAGCTAGCCCAAGAGCTGAATTTAACGAAGGCTGGGTTTCTCGTGGAATCATAACAGAAGGAGTAAAGCTAAGGGAGCTGAGGGTGGGCCCCAGGGAGAGATTATAACAAGGGACCACAAAATACAAAATGCATAAGGAAGTGAAGTTGTGAGGAAAGCGGAGGACAATGAAAAGGCGGTAGGGTCAATGGACTGGAAACACCTACTGGGCCAAAGCACTATCCTACGTTAACCCAATTCTATTTTCTCCATTTCCGTACCCAGGCTGGAGCTTACTTACAGAGAAAATCAAAGTCTATAGGTTGGCACCACCAGAGTCATGATTTTGGGATAGCAACAGTCCTTCAGTAATTTGTGTATGGGCCAGCAGGTGGCATAGTGGTTAAGGAGGCTAGATCCCGGATGGCTGACTGAGTGGTTCCAGTCCCAGACCCAGATGCATGTGTGTACATTCCCAAAATCTCAAGAGGAAAATGGAGAAAAAGAGATTATGGCATGGCCATCTCCCCTGGGGGTTTTCTCTCTCTCTTTTTCTCTTGTTCTCTTTCTGGTGAGTGCATGCACCCTATAGCAAACATTTGAAAATAATAATAGTTTGTCTGTGATTCACTGGTCAGTTCTCACTCCAGCTTTACACAGTGGCTGTTTTGGTGTTTTGTGTTTTTTTTTTTTCTTAAATTTTTAAAAAAAATAATTATTCAATTTTATTTATTCATTTATTTTAATTTGACGAGAGAGAGACAGACAGAGAAGAAGGGAAGTGGGAAAGCAAGCTACCAGACCTGGGACTCGAACAGTACTTGGCCATGTGGGAGTGTCCAGCACTTTAACCACCATGCCACATGCTGGTCTCTGTTTTGGTGTTTTTAAAAAGTATTTATTCCATTTTATGTATTATCATTATTGTCTTCCAAATTGCTACAGGGCATGCGTGCTCACCAGAGGGAGACAGAGAGGGAGGGAGGCAGAGAGAAATAGAGTGAGAAAGCAAGCCGCCAGGTTCAGGACTCAAACCACAGTCGGCCATGTGGGAGCCCAGTGCCTTAATCACCACACCACCTGCTGTTTCCATACAGTGTCTGTTTTTATTTTTTAAAGAGTTTTTAAAATTATTTAATTTTATTTATATTATTATTATTATTTAATTTGCTATAGTGAACATGCACTCACCAGAGGGTGGGGAAGGTGGGGAGTGAGAAAGCAAGCAGTCAGGTCCAGGATTCAAAATGCGGTTGGCCATGTGGGGAGTTCAATACCTTAACCCCTGCACCACCTCCTGCCTCACAATGGTTATTTTTAATCTCTGCTGTCTCTGCTCATCCAATTTTGGGGTAGAAAAATTTTATTCAACATTCAAGTCTCTAACTCAAGCACTAACTTCTTGGTGAAGTTTTCTTGATTCCTTCAGACTCTTTCAGGAATCTGTAAGATTTGTCAGATGGAGTAATTGCAGAACTCAAATGTGATTTTTCCAAATGTGTGTGTCTTTCTCTCTCTTTATTTATTTATTTATTGAGAGGTTTTTGCTATAGGGCACATGCACTCACCAGAAAGACAGAGAGAGAGAGAGACAGAAAGCGAGAGATCACATCCCCCCCACCGCCCCGGGGAGATGGCCATGCCGCAATCCCTTCTCCTCCATTCTCCTCTCGGGATCTTGGGCATGCACGCACACGCGCCCGGCGTGAGTTTTAAGCCACCGGGTCCAGGACTCGAACCATGGTTGACTACATGGAAGTCCAGCGACATAGCCATTACGCTAACTGCTGGTCCCTCTAATGTGTCTTTACACTAGGCTGTAAGTTACTGGAGAGCGGGGCTCATGTCTTATTCATCAAAGCTCCAGCAGCACAGTGTTTGCTGGAGTGGATGCCTAAACATATTTATTAAATGAAGGAACAAATAAATCTATCAATAAACTGAAGCTCCCCCCCCCCTTTATGGGAGGGGCGGGGGAGAGGGAGACAGAGACAGGAGAGAGGTATTCTTTATCTCTCTTGCTGTGGTGCAATCTCCTGTCTCAGTTTTCCATTAACTGGGATTACATGTGCATGCGACTGTGCCCAGCACGTTCAGGTCGGCCCAAGGACTGAACCCAGGCCTCTCATGTGGCTCCCATGCTCCCAGGCAGTGGGTGCTACCTGCGTACCACCTGAATGGAAGCTTTGAGCTCACTCATTTCGTCCCTTATCTCATCTTTTCAGATAAACTACTGCCAAAGGAGTTGAATAATTTGCCTGGAGTCACGCAGCCAAGGACAGAGTTGAGTTGTTTCCTATCTGCCAGTGTCACTGTGACGTTGTGGTCTAGTCCCTCCACGTGCTCCTCTAGTGATAGGAGCAGTTACAGAGGGTTAGGAACGCTACCTGGCCTCCCAAGGGTAATTCTTCCCTTCTCATTCCAGGATGCCTACACATCATCAGCTCAGCCTCCCAGGAAGGAAAGCAACTAAACTTAATCTGTACCGTGTGGCATAAGAAAGAAGAGGCCGAGGGCTTTATAATCTACTTGTGCAAAAACAGGCCTGGGGACTGTTCCCCTGAGACCAGCTTGATGCAGCTGAGACTTAAACGAGACTCGGGAATAGATGGTCGCAGTGAACAGCCATCTCAGCTGGTGTTCACCATACACCAAGTCACACCATCCGACAAAGGGACTTACCAGTGTTGTGCCAGAAACCAGATGACAGACGTTCTCCTTCAGGGACACTTTTTCTCTGTCCTAGTCACAGGTGAGTCCCTCATACCCCTCATGCTACCAGGAGGACAGGAACAGGGCTGACAGCTAGAGATATAAATGATGCTTCAGGTCCAGGAAAGGCAGCCTCCTTGGGAAGAGTCCTTCCCATTACTCAATCCTTGTCCATCACTCCTGCCTAGATGCTGCCTTTCTTCAAAGCACACATACAAGGTAACCTCATTTGGTCTTTAATTTTAAAAATCTTACCAGGGTGGTCATCTCATTTTTATTGAAAGGGAGACTAAGTCACAAGAGGTGAAGATCCCGTTCAATGCCACTCGCTGACCAGCACCAGTAAAAGCGGATAGTGGTCTGGAATTCAGGCCTCTTGATTCCCAACTTAGAGCTGTGACTGTATTTCCAAATACATACAGAGAGGTAGATTTAAGAGAAAACAGAGTGACCAGCAGACGGCATGATGGCTACGTCACTGGACTCCCATGTCGTCGACCATATTTCAAGTCCCTGATCTGGTGTCTTAAAACTCACACCAGGTGTGTGTGCGCATATGCCCAAAAATACCAAGAGGAGAATAGAGGAGAAGGGATTGTGACATGGCCAAACCCCTGGGGGCTGATTTCTCACTTTCTGTCTCGCTGTCTCTCTGGTGAGTTCACATGCCCTCTAGCAAAAATCTCTCTGGAGAAAAAAAAGGAATTATTTATTATTTTAAATTTGACCAGAGAGAGACAGAGAAAGAGAAAGAGGGAAAGTGAGAAATCAAGCCACCAGGTCTGGGACTCAAACTGCAGTCAGCTATGTGGGAGTCCAGCACCTTAACCACTATGCTACCATGGGATCTAGGAGACAAGGAACCTAATGGAAAGATAGAGAGGAAATTCTAGAATAAAAAAAGGGCAATTAGTCTACAAGAACACAAGATAAAGAGTGCTCTGACAGGGAGACATGTATGGGCTAAAAATGGAATTGATGCATCTTTCTGAGGTCTCATGATATATCTAGTAAAAGAATTAGGGACCAGCAGATGGCGTAATGGCTACGTTGCTGGACTCCCATGTAGTCGACCACAGTTTGAGTCCCGGACCTAGTGGCTTATACTCACACTTGGCGCGCGTGCATGCATGCTCAAGATCCTGAGAGGAGAATGGAGGAGAAGGGATTGTAGCGTGGCCATCCCTGCTTTTGAAAGGATGCAGAAAAGGAAAGTGGAGAAAGTAGGTGGTGGGTGAAATTGTAAGAGAACTATATCTTCATCTACTATAATAGAAAGTCAGTAGATAATGCCTAAACTTCATCATTAGGAAGTGGCAACATGAGCATATTATTTAGGAATATAGTGAAACATCCCAAAGAGTTAGCAGTAGTTGTCTCTGGGGAATGAGGCTAGAAAGATAAAAAGACAAGGCTGTTATTCTTTTTTTGAGAGAGATTTTTACTGTAGGGCACCAGAGACAGAAAATGAGAAATCACTCCCCAGGGGGGATGGTCAGGCCACAGTCCCTCCTCCTCTATTCTCCTCTTGGGATTTTGAGTACATAGGCACACACACCCAGAATGAGTTTTAAGCCTCCATGTCTGGGACTCGAAATGGCCAACTACGTGGGATTCCAGTGACGTAACCCCTACTCCATTTGCTGGTCCCAGTTATTCTTTTTTGTTTTTGATTTTTGTCATAGAGCATGTGCACTCACCAGAGACAGTGAGAGGGAAAATGAGAAATCATCCCCCCAAGGGAGATGGCCATGCTGTAATCCTTTCTTCTCCATTCTCTTCTTGAGACTCGGGGCACACACGCCCATGTGCCCGGTGTGATTTTCAAGCCATCAGGTCCAGGACTCCAACTGTGATCTGCCATGTAGGAGTCCAACACTTCAACCAGACATGGCTATTATTCTTTATATACTATTTATTTATTTATTTATTTTGCTATAGGGCGCATGCGCTCGCCAGACAGACAGAGAGACAGAAAGCGAGAAATCACCCCCGAGGGGGGATGGCCACACCGCAATCCCTTCTCCTCCATTCTCCTCTCGGGATCTTGGGCACGCATGCACACGCACCCGGCGTGAGTTTAAGCCACTGGGTCCGGGGCTCGAACTGCAGTCGACCACGTGGGAGTCCAGCAACATAGCCATTACGCTAACTGCTGGTCCCATTCTTTATATACTTTCAAATAGTATCTTTTTTTAGAACAATACTTTTGCTATAGAGCACATGTGCTTGCTGGAGAGACAGAGAGAGAGAAAGTGAGAAATCATCTCTCAGTGGGATGGCCACAACACAATCCCTCGGAATTTTGGGCACATGCACACACATGCAGCCAGCGTGAGCTTCAAGCCGCCAGGTCCCAGACTAGAACTGCAGTCGGCCACGTGGCAGTCCAGCACCTTAACCACTACACCGCCTGCTAGCTCCCTCAAGTGGTATCTTAAAGTATAAATCAATGCTACTCTCTCCCAATCCAATAAAAACCTGGTGCAGAGCGTTGTAAACAAATGTTTGCATCTCCTGCTATGGTTACTAGTTAATTACAAATTTGTACTTCAGTCTACTGCCGGCCCCTATCAAATGATTCTTTAAAAAAATCACTTTAGTCTAGTACTGCAGGCTCCATAAAAGTTCGATCTATTATTTATGTAAATACTCTGCTCCAGGTAAACCGCTCTCTGATTAATACAGATTTTCTCCCTTGCTTCCTGGTGCCTTCCCGCCTGACCCTGCTATCCCCTTCAGCACTTCTGACCATCTTCTGCATCAAACTCATCGCTATTGGCTTCTGCAGCTCTGAATCCCCCGTTCTCCCACCTGTCTGGCTGTTCTGGTGTCTTCTTCTCTGCCTCTGTTTCCTTCTTCTCCTTTTCAAACATGCATATTCCCCAAGACTCATTCTCACCCCATAACTCTTCCCTCTCTAATCAGCCCCCCTAGATCTCAACCACCTTCATGGTTTAAACCTGTACCTCCTTGCAGTTGGCCCACAAACCAACCAGCTTCTCTAGTTCCAATCTCTCTCCTAATTATTTCCAGTGACAACTGGATTTCTAGCTCCTAGACACCCCACCCTCTCCTCACTCAAAATCTGTCCCTGATTCACAGTTGAAAATCTTGGTTCCTCGGGGCCGGCAGGTAGAATGTTGGTTAAGGTGCTGAACTTCCACATAATTGACTGCAGTTCGAGTCCTGGACATGGCAGCTTGAAAATCATGCCCGGTGTGTGTGCGTGCGTGCCTGAAATCCCAAGGGAAGAATGGAGGAGAAAGGATTGTGGCATTGCCACCCCCTCTGGGGGTTGATTTGTCACTTTCCCTCTCTGTCTCTCTTTAGTGAGCGCATATGCCCTATGGGGGAAAAAAAAACTTAAAAAACACAAACAAACAAACTTTGGTTATGTCCCATCCAGTCAGTTACTAGTTCTTTTCCACATTTACTCCTTTCTTTCCAAAGGGTTTTTCCGGGTCTTAATCACCTCACACTTAAAATATTCCAGTGGTCTTCTAACTGGTGAGTCCCTTGAGATATTGTATCTCCCATCCCTACTATTGAGCTTGGCACTTCGCTGTCGCCTAATAAGTAGCCCAGTGACTCTAAACACCACCTCTGCCTCTAAACCACTCTACATGGTGCCGCCAGATTGATCTTTCTAAAAAGCTCATTTGTATATGCTCCATCACCATTCAGTTTCCATGGCTTCTCACCACCTATGGGATAGTTTAAATTACTTTAGCTCGGGGGCCAGGAGATGGCATAGTAGTTACATCACTGGACTCCCACAGCCGACCACAGTTTGAGTCCTGGACCAGGTGCTTTGAAAATCACACAGGTATGTGTGTGTGCACGCCCAAGATTCCGGGAGGGGTGAACGGAGAAGAACAGAAGAGAAAGGATTGCGGCATGACCATCCCCTTGGGGGGGGGGATGATTTCTCACTTTCCCTCTCACTGTCTCTGTCTCTCTCTGTCTCCCTCTCTCAGGTGAGTACATGTACCGTAAGGCAAAAACCTCTTTTAAAAAATTACTTTAGGGCCAGCAGGTGGCATAGTGGTTAAGGACACTGGACTTCCATATTACCAGCTGTGGTTTAAGTCCAGACCTGGTGGCTTGCTCTCTCTCTCTCTCTTTCTCTCTCTCTCGCTCTCTCACTATGTCCCTCTCTGGTCAAATAAATAAATAATGTTAAATAAAATAATTCTTTTTTAAAAGTTATGTTGCTGGACTCCTCAGTTGGAGTCCCAGACTTGGCAGGTGTATGTGCGTGGGTGCCCAAAATTCCTAGAGGAGAATGGAGGAGAAAGGATTGCGGCGTGGCCATCCCCCTTGGGGATGTCTCTCTGGCGAGCTCACGTGCCCTATAGAAAAATCTCTCTTTAAAAAAAAACAACTTATTTCATTAAGAAAAAATGATTTATTTAATTGTATTTGTTATTATTATTTAAAGAATTATTTTATTTATTATTATTATTGTTTTTAATTTGACCAGGGAGACTCTGTCATTCTGTCCCTCTCTGGTCAAATAAATAATGTTAAATAAAATAATTCTTTTTAAAATAATTATTTATTTTATTTTATTTGTTATTATTATTGTTTTTAATTTTACTAGAGAGAGTCTGAGAGAGAGAAAGGAAAGCTGAGAAAGCAAGTTGCCAGGTCCAAGACTTGAACCACGGTTGGCCAGTGGGAGTCCAGTACCTTGACCACTGCACCACCTGCTGGCCCCCATAAGATAATTCCTTAAAAAAAAAATTACTTTAGCCTGGCACAGGCGGCTCCATAAAAGTTCATTCTATTATTTATGTGAGTACTCTGCTCCAAGTAAACTGCACCAGTAGAAATGTGTCTTTCATCCATCTACAAGTGTTTATCGTGTGTTTCAGACACAGTGCTAAACCTTGGAGAACAGAATGAGGTACAGTACTGTCCTTGCTCCATATAACCCACAGTTTGTGTTTTTCTAATTGTGTCTTCCTGTGATGGTTCTCAGAAGAATGCCTTTTTTTAAAGAGATTTTTGCCATAAGTCGCATGTGCTTGCCGGAGAGACAGAGACAGAGAGATAGAAAGCAAGAAATCACCCTCCAGGGAGGGTGGCCACACTGCAATACCTTCTCCTCCATTCTCCTCTCGGAATCTTGGGTATGCATGCAACGAATGTGCCCAGTGTGAGTTTTAAGTCACCAGGTCCAGGACTCAAACCACTGTCTACTACGTAGGAATTCGGCTTTCTTATCTTTTCTGGATATTTAAGTATTAGCACACACATATGGTCTCAAAATATGAAAATTAGGTTCTTTCTGGGAGATCAAACTAGAAAGAATAGACAGGTAACGTAACATTTTTTAAAAAAGAATTACTCACTTTGGCTACCAGGTGGCATGGTGGTTAAGGCACTGGACTCCCACATCGCAGTTCGAGTCCCAGACCTGGCAGCTTGCTTTTTCACTTTCTCTCTTTCTTTCTCTCCCTCTGTCTCTTTCTGGTGAGTGCAGGTGCCCTATAGTAAAATTTTGAAAAATAATAATAAATAAAATTTTAAATAAATGATTTTTTAAAAGAATTACTTATCTAATTTTATTATTTTTTACATGTTCTATAGGGCTCACGTGCTAGCCAGAGAGGGAGACAGACAGACAGAGAAAATGAGAAACTAAGCTGTCAGGTCTGGGACTTGAACTGCACTCAGCCATGTGCTGAGCCTAACACCTGAACCACCACGCCACCTGCCGGCCTGGTAACAGATTTTTTTTTTCTTTTTTTTCTAGAGAGGTTTTCACTATAGAGCACATAACTCATCAGAGAGACAGAGAGAAAGCAAGCAAGAGATCACTCTGGGAGGGATGGCCCTGCCACAATCCTTTCTCCTCCAGTCTCCTCTTGGAATTTTGGGCTTGTATGCACAAGTGCCTGACATGAGTTTTACGCTGCCAGGTCCGGGACTGGCACCATGGTCGACTACATGGGAGTCCAGTGACGTAACCATTACACCATCTGCTGGTTCCCCAGATTATATTTTAATAATTATTTAATTTAGAGACTAGCAGGTGGCATGATGGTTAAGGTGCTGGACTCTCACATGGGTTACTGCAGTTCGAGTCCTGAACTTGGTGGCTTTCTTTCTCATTTTCCCTCTCTCTGTGTCTCTGTCTGGTCAAATTAAAAAATAATAAGGGACCAGCAGGTGGCATAGTGGTTATGTCACTGGACTCCCACATGGTTGACTGTGGTTTAAGTCCTGGACCAATCGCTTGAAACGCAGTTTTTAAATGTTATTTATTATTGTTATTATTTTTCAGTTTTGCTATTGGGCATGTGCTCTCACCAGAGGAAAAGAAAGTGAGAAAGCAACCCAACAGGTCTAAGACTCAAACCATGGTTGGGCATGTGGGAGTCCAGCATCTTAACCACCATGCCACTTGCTGGCCACAACAGATGTCTAACTTCATTAGACAGTGTCTTGCCATTTTCTCAGTGCTTACGGTATGCCAGGCACTGTGATAAGTGATAATATTACATTCTATCTGCATGCCCTTTGAGGTAAGAATCAATATCATCATCTTCTGACAATTGAGACTCAAAGCTCGTTTGTGTAAGTTTACTCTCCTAGTAAGTGATGGATACAAATCTAAATCTATTCCAAAATCTAAGACTTTAACTTATGCTGAATTGCTTGACCTACTCTAGGTTTGTAAATGGCATCAGGGGAAACCCCATCGAAAGTGACCAAGTCATTTTAGCTGTTTCTCTTCACAGTCTAGCATATCCCCAGAGTCTGGCACACAGCGGATTCTATATTTACTTGTTGCTGCTGCATCATCATTGCCCACAATTGTTAAAAATACTTATTTGGGGACCAGTGGATGTGTAATGGTTATGCTGCTGGACTCCCATGTGGTAGAGTGCAGTTCGAGTCCTGGACCTGGCAGCTTAAAACTCACTCTGGGCCCATGTACCTGTGTGCCCCAAATCCTGAGAGGACAATGGAGGAGAAGAGCTCGTGGCATTGTCATCCCCCCAGGGGGTGATTTCTCACTTTCTGTCTGTCTCTCCAGTGAGTGCACGTGCTCTATGGCAAAAATCTCTTTTTAAAAAAAAACTTATTTGGGCAATGAATGATGCTGGGGGCGGGGGTATCCTTGAAAACCCCAGACATTCTGAGATGATATACAAGGAAGTACTACTGATTTCTAAAGGCCTCTCCTGATTCATAATTCTCTTGTGACCCAGAGGACGGGAACTACACCGTGGAGGGACTGAGACAAGGACAACCACCCAAGTTCACCCACAGGACAGGCACTCTCAGTGCAGGCTTCCGACTAGGAAACGTCTGGGCAGTGCTGCTCACCAGCCTGGTGGCCCTTCGAGGTATGTTCAGAAGAGCTTTCAGCTCTCCAAGAAATGAGGGTGTTATACCTTTGCCACCTTGATTATTCTCCAAGAGGGGATTTGGGAAAGGAAGGCCAGAGGCAGATGTAAATATCCTCAAGCCCTCACTATCCACGAGAAAATTCAAACCTATGTGAAGGTGAAACTAGTCCAAAGAAATAAAAACTTCAAAATACTGAAAGGAAGAGCCATGAATCAGACTTTCCACTGGGCAGGAGATCAGAACCTGTTAGAAGTCTGTGGGTGAGGCAGGTAAATACAACTGCCTGTCTTCATTGGGTGAACAGGGGCACAAGTAGAGACAACAGATCTTCGGCAATTATGTGAATTGACAAGGCTAGAGACAGAGTTGGTCTAGAAGCGGGCTTTATTTATTTATTTATTTGTTTAGTTATTTTTTAAAAAAGAATTATTCTATTTAACTTTATTTATCCACCTATTTATTTCAATTTGACCAGAAAGGGACAGAGTGAGAGAGAGAGAGAGGGAGAAAGCAAGCCGCTAGGGCTGAGATCTGAACCGCAGTCAGACATGTGCGAGTCCATTATCCTAACCACTATGCTACTGCAAGCCCCTGCCCCGTATTTATTTATTTTTAAAATTTGCTATAGGGCATGTGAGCTTGCCAGACAGAGCAGGAAAGAAGTCACCCCCCAGTGAGGATGGCCACACTGCACTCCCTCTTTCATTCTTCTCTTGGGATTTTGGGCACGCACGCACATGCGCAGTGTGTTTTTCAAGCAGCTGAGTTGAACCACGCAGTCGACGTGGGATCCAGCCAACTTAATAACCACCACACCATCAGTGGGCCTCACCTGTGGGTTTTAAACAATAGAGCTCCTCAGCAAAGGCTGATGGCCAGTTTTTATGTATGGGTTGTTTTGTCAAAGGGCATGTGTTCTTGCCCGAGAGCAGCAGAGGGACAGGAGAGGGAGAAAGCACTGTCCCCACGGGGTATGTTCACACTGCAATCTCTACTCCTCCATTTTTCCATCCCGTCGGGATCTGGGGCACTCACAAGCATGTGCTCAGCATGTTTTGCAAGCTACTGGGACTGGGATTCAAACTGCAGTCATGTGGGATCCAACCCTCTTTAACCACTAGCCCATGGGGCTGACCCAGCTTGAATATATTAAAAACTTGTAGCTGAGTCCTCTAAGCATCATTATGTGTCAAGGTTTTCCATAGCGATTAAATGTATAAATAATTAAAATTAATAAAAAATCATAAAGTCAAAAAAAGAAAAAAAATAAATGATTGAACACACACACACACACATATATGTATATACACGTGTGTGTGTATCAAGGTTTTTCCTATGAGATAACAAAGAACAGAGGGGCTGGCAGGTGGTATGGTGGTTAAGGGCACTGGACTCTCACATGGCCAACAATGGTTCAAGTCCTGGACCTGGCGGCTTGCTTTCTCACTTTCCCTTGCTCTCCCACTCTCACTCTGTTCCTCTCTAGTCAAATTTAAATAGATAAAGTTAAATAAAAATAATTTTTATTTAACTTTATTTCTTTTTATTTGACCAGAGAGGGACAGAACGAGAGAGAGAGAAAGTGAGAGAGCAAGCTCCCAGGTCTGGGACTCGAACTGCTTTTGGCCATGTGGGAGTCCAGCATCCTTAACCACCACGCCACTTGCTGTCCCCAAATAAAATAATTCTTTTTTTTATTTTAATTTTAATTAATTAATTATTTAAATTTATTTGTTTACATTCCTTCACTGTATATCATTACAGCAGACAAAATGAGATTTTCCATCCAGAATACACTATATATTGGCTCAGTCAAGCACATCAACATATGTGTTATCATCAACAAATAGTTTTCCATTTCTTGTTTCCTATATATTTTGCTTTTTTTCCCATCCTTGATTCCCTACCTCTCACCCTCTGCCATCTCCCACCTTCCTCCCACACTGTGTCTGGTATCTATTGGTGCTTTCTATGCCTTCCCCCCCACACACACATTTTATTGTTTCACTAAATATCGTAATTAACCTAAATATTTTCAACAGCAAGCACAGCTGATATATACATATTTGTGAACACAAGTCTGACTTTAGGCATAAACCTTAGTGAGTAGAATGGACATACTGTGAAGTAGCACCTAGCTGTGGCTATATAGCTTACTGCAGTCATCAAATAGGTATTTTAATGCATTTTTTTTTTATTTCAAGAAAAATAGGTTTTAAGTTGGCCATTTTCTTAGTTTTTGAACTCATATTTCTGTGTGTCTTTATTTAATTTTCCTGATATAGTACTCCCTTGAGAACTTCTTGGAGATCTGGTCTGGTGCTGATGAATTCTTCCAAGTTTTGTTTATCTAAGAATGTTCTTGTCTTTTCTTCCCACATGAAGGATAATCTTGCTGGGTACAGTATTCTTGGTTGAAATTGCTTTTCCCTTAACACTTTGAAAATATTTTCCCATTCTTTCCTCGCTCACATTGTTTCTGATGAGAGGTCCGCTGTTAGCCTGATGGGATATCCTTTGTAGGTAACTTGATGTTTTTCTCTTACCAGTCTTAGTGTCTTGTCTTTGTGGTTTTGGTCAACCTGACTATAATGTGTTTTGGAGATCTTCTTGGGTTGATTCTATTTAAGGTCCTTTGTATTTCTTGGGACTGGATCTTTGAGTGCCTCTCTAGGTTTGGAAAGTTTTCTTGCAGGATTTCTTGGAATAGATTATCAATGCCTTTATGAGTCTCTTTGCCTTCTGGAATGCCAATTATCCAGATGTTTGGACCTTTGATGGTATCCAGTACTTCTTGCATATTATTCTCATTTTTGGGGGGCCATTTTCTCAGTCTTCATGGTAGATTTTTCTGGGCCAGAAATTTTCTCTTCTATGTCTGAGATCCTTTTTTTTTGTATGATCTAATCTGCTTTTAATACTTTCAAGGGAGATTTTGACTTCCTGTATTATAACCTTGATCTCTAACAGGTCGCCCTTTGATTCTTTTTTAAAGTGTGTAATTCCTCTTTTAGATCTTGCAAGAATTTCCTCACCTCCTGGAACTCATCAACTCCTTTCTCTATTCTCTTCTACAGTTCATGGTCTCTCTTCTCTTCCATCTCTGTCAATTTCATCATTATGAATATTCTAAATTATTTATCAGGCATTTCCATAATTTCCATTGAACTGCCTGTGGATGAAGAGGAGTTATTCTTTTCCCTGGGAGGAGGGGTATTTTCTTGTTTTCCCATATTTCTTGTGGTCGTGCAGTGATTTCTAGTCATCTGATGGATGATGTGTTTCTTCCTAGTTCTTTAAGTTCAATTTGAATATTCAGGAGCAAGCAGAAAGAGGTGATCTGGAATCTCTTTTTTGTTCCACTGTGATCACTTCGTGCAGCAGATTCAGTAGATATTGAGAAATATGTTAACCAAATAGTATTTGGAGATTTGGCTATAGTTCCCTTAGATCCATCACTCAAGTTTGTGGGCTGGAAGCTGAATTATCAGTAGGAAATTTTCATCTCTTTTTTCCCTTAAATCACTAGTTCTCAGGAGCCATGAGGAATCTTCTGAATGCCTGGCTCTTGCCTCTCCTCAATAAAATAATTCTTAAAAAAAAAAAAAAGGAAAGATAACAAAGAATGGAAATGCCAGTAATTTGCCATTGTTTTTGTATAATAAGTAACAGAGTCAGTTCAGTGTCCTGGTTGTTAAAAGTCGATCATAGTGGGGCCAGCAGGTGGTATGGTGGATAAGGGCGCTGGATTTTGACATGGCCAACCATGGTTCAAGTCCTGGACCTGGTGGCTTGCTTTCTTACTTTCCCTTTCCCTCTCTCTCTCTCTCTCTCTCATCAAATAAAGAAAAAATAACAATAACAAATGGAAATAAATAAATAATTCTTTAAAAAAAAAAAAAAAAAAGTCGATCATAGTTTCAGTCCTGTTCCCAGTAGCTTGAGAAACATGCCAGGCATGTGTGCATGCATGCCCCAAAGTCCCTATGGGATGAAGAAGAGATTGCAGAATGACATGGCAGGGAGAAGAGGGTGCTTTCCCCTCTCCTTCTGTCTCTCTGGCAAGCATACATAAGCCTCTGGCCAAAAGACAAAAAAAAAAAAAAAAAAAAAAAGGTAACAGATGCAGGTTTTTGCCTGTTCTTGGCATTAATTTCATTTTATTTCGCTTTTTCTCAAATCAGTAACTGTCACTGAGCAATACCAGAATGTAAGATCTGTAAATATGGGGAATTTGTCTTGTTTCCCCAAGACAAAGACAGCACCAGACACACAGTAGGTTCTTGATGCTTTCTGTACACGTGGTGATTCTAACCTCTTACATATCTTCCCAGCAGAAGTTCCCTGATTACTCCTCAGGAAACAGGCACACGAAGTTGGAGACTGCCTTTTACAGGAATTGATAGAGGCCCTTCTGTCTCTAAACCTTACCTGTTAGTAGTGACCTACTATATGCAAAGTACCTCTCACCTCTTTCACCACCCACCCCACGCTGACCCATTTCCAGAAGCAGGACCACCCAACAATCCCTATTCCATCCCCTTGGCAACAAATTACCAAAAGAAAACAGACCATGGGACCAGCAGGTGGCATAGTGGTTAAGGCGCTGGACACTTCCACATAGCCAACCGTCGTTTGAGTCCTGGGCCTGGTGGTTTGCTTTCTCATTTTTTCTCTCTCTCTTTCTCTGTCTCTCTGTTCAAATAGAAATGAACGAATGAATAAATAAATAAAGTTAAATAAATAACAAAAAAAAAAAAAAGAAAGAAAACAGACCTTATCTGTGATCCTTGGAAGAATATGCTGAACAAAACCTGTGCTTTCAGGAAGAATTGTCAGTTCCAGTCGGACCCTTTAGACATAATTTTTTTATTGAACCTAAATTCCTCTGGATGATTAGGCTAATCTGTTAGCAGTAGAATAGATTTTATTTCTTCATATGGAATAAAAACTCAAAAGAAGAGACCAGCAGATGGTGTAATGGTTACATCACTGGATTCCCATGTAGCCGACTGTGGCTTGTGTCCCAGATTTAGTGGCTTAAAACTCACACTGGGCATGTGTATGGTGTGCCCAAAATCCCAGGAGGAGAATGAGAAGGGATTGTAGTGTGGTCATTGCTTTCTGTCTCTGTCCCTCAGGCATGCTTCCTATAGCAAAAAGCTCTCTTTAAAAAAAGAAAAAAAGGGGACCATTGGATTGTGTAATGGTTACATTGTTGTACTGCAACATAGTTGACTGCAGTTCAAGTCCTGGACCTCGTGGCTTAAACCTCACATCGGGCATGTGTGTGTGTGTGTGCACCCAGGACCTCAAGAGAAGAATGGGAGAGAAGGGATTACAGCGTGGCCAGCCCCTTGGGGATTGATTTATCATTTTCTTACTCTCTGTCTCTCTGGTGAGCACAAATATTTACACCATTTATATCAGAATCACTCAGAGTCCTTGTTAAGAATGCATATTTCAGGACCAGCAGATGACATAATGGTTATTTCACAGGAAGCCCACGTAGTCAACTGTGGTTTGAGTCCCAAATGTGGCAGCTTGAAAATCACGCCAAGCATGTGTGTGTGTGTGCATGTGTGCCCAAAACCCTGGACGAGAATGGATTGCAGCATGGCCATCTCCCATGTGGGGGTTGATTTCTCATTTTACCTCTCACTGTACGTCTCAGGTAAGCGCCTGTACTCTATGGGAAAAAGCTAAAAACAAAACAAAACAAAACAAAAAAAGAAAAAGAAAAAGAAAAAAAAGAAAACCTCTCAAAAGAAGATATTGAGTCTGGCCATTCAACCTACTACTTTCTACCTCTGACTATCAAGTTAACCGAGAGCAAAACATTTCTGTGTTCTTTCTCTTTTCCAGTCAGGCAAAGAAACAATGAACTTTTGAATCTAATTATTTGTTTTTTTCTATACTCAATTCAGGTTTTTGTTTTGTTTTTAATTTTTTTGCTATAGAATGCATGCACTTGCCAGAGAGAGAGGGAGAGAAACAGAGAGAGAGACAGAGAGAAAGGGGGAAAATGAAAAGTCACCCCCCAGTGGGGATGGTCATGCAGCGATCCTTTCTCCTCCATTCTCTCAGGATTTTAGGCATGCATGCACACGGTGCCCACTGTGCTTTACTTTTCTTTTTCTTTTTTAAAAGAATTATTTATTTAATTCAATTTGTTATTATTATTATTATTATTATTTAATTTGACCAGGCAGAGACAGAGAGAGAGAGAAAGGGAAAGTGAGAAAGCACGCCACTAGTCAAGGACTCAAACCGCAGTCAGCTATGTGGGAATCCAGCACCTATAATCACCATGCCACCTGCCGGTGCGCCCCTCCCCCCCGTTCTTTTATTTTTTGAAGAATTATTTAATTGTATTAGTTATTATTATTACTATTATTATTTGACCAGAGGAAGAAAGGGAAAGTGAGAAAGCAAGTCACCAGATCCAGGACTCAAACTGGGGTCAGCCACGTGGGAGTCCAGCTCCTGAACTACCACGCTACCTGCGGCACCCCCAGTGTGTTTTCCAAGCTGCCAGGTCTGGGATTCGAACTGCACTGTCCACCAAGGGGGATCTAGCTGCCTTAACCACCATGCCACCCAGATGGCCCCTCAAGTAGCTTTAAAGGTTAACAAAAGGAAAAGACAAACCAAAGCTAAATACTTGAATAAACAGAATATATTAAATTATGAGCGTCCTTTTACCTCCCTCTCCCAACTCAAGGCTTAGCAAAATTATAGAAGAGGAAGTGTTCAGTGAAATTTAAAAGTGCACATTTTCTTGATCCCAAAAAGATCAAGCTATGCTTATACATGAGTGAAAGGATGAAGAGTTTTTTTGGACCACTCATGATCAGTTCATGAAGCTAATTTCAGTGAAAATTCTTGTGCTATCACTATATCAACAATTCAGTATATACACAGAAAATTTACCTTCAATTTTGTTTTATTTTTTTTAAGTTAATTATAGGGCATATGTGCTCCCTGGAGAGAGGGGAGGGGGGAGTGAGGGAGGGGGAGAGAGAGAGAGAGAGAGAGAGAGAGAAATCACTCCCCAGGAGGATGGTCACACTGCAGTCCCTTCTCCATTCTCCACTCAGGATTTTGGGTACGCACACATGCCCAGCATGTTTTCCAACAGCTGGGTCAGGACTTGAACCGCGCAGTCAGCCATGTGGGATCCAGCTGTCTTAGCCCCCAGGTCAGAGGCTGGCCCACTAACTTTCAACCTTTCGAGTGGCATCTATTTCTTCCTTGATTGTCCCACTTTGCAGCAAGAAGAGATCAAAAGTTGGCTCCCTCCTCACTTCCGGCAGGGTATTAGATTTGCTCAATTATAACCCCAACTTTAGCCATGACACCACATGTAAAATCCACTCTTGCTTTCCTTTTCCATTCCTTTTTCCTACTCATAGGGGCTGGTTACGCACCCATCCCAGGACAGGTCAGACGTTTATATAAGGCATTCTGCTGCTATTCTAAATTGTGAGGTAGTAATATAAATGTTTCTTTCTCTTTCCACAGCTCTGTAATACTGCAACAAAAGAAAACTTTACAAAGTTACAGCAAGGATACATCTGACTATTTAGCTGGGTTTGCTTTCTCTTTACAATACACAGAAGAAACAGGGTTTGAGGAAGCGAGGCCAAATAAGCCAAGAAGCTGGTGGATACAAACCTGGGCAGAAAAGAATATTCCTTGGCCTCTCATCATGGCCAGGACAAACCTGCCTTTTTCCTAGCTCAGCAGCAGTAAATAAAAAGCTTTCACAAAAACGGCTGTACAGTTCTCAAATATTGGACGTGCGTTTTGTATCCCAGAACTTTCCCTCTGTTCCCCTCGACATAAAAATAAGGAAGTCAAATGACATTTTCTGGAAGGAGTTTATTATTGAACACTGTAAAGGAAAGAGGAAAGGAGAGGAGAGCAAGAGAGCCAGAACCAGTGACTGACTTGGCTTGAAAATGAGGAAACGGGGGACCAGCAGATGGCATAATGGTCACGCCGAATTCCCATGTAGTTGACCACAGTGTGAGTCCCAGACCCTGTGGCTTGAAACACCTCGGGCACGTGTGTGTGCATGCTCAAGATCCCAGGAGAAGAATGGAGGCGAAGAGACTGCAGTGTGGCTATATCCCCTGCGGAGTGATTTCTCACTTTCTATCTCTGTCTCTCTCTCTCCAGCGAGTGCATGCACCCTATAGCAAAAATCTCTCTAAAAACAGAAAGAAAGAACATGAGGAAATGAAGACAGACCTTTGTGTTTGAAAGCATCCACACAGTTCTGCGGGAGGAAGAGGATACACATGCCCAAGTGTATCACAGAGTGTAACTATCCAGCCTCACCATTGTAAATTATCAACCTCTGTGATCATTTCTTTCTTTGTAAATAAATGCCTGCTGTAGTACTTGAAGCCTTTCTGCTTAAACTCATAAACCCTCTTGTCTTTCTATTTGGACAGATGACCTTTTGCGATAGTGAAGCAGAGAGGAGGGGCAGGATATTTCTGACATGAGGAATTACATGAAAAAAGAGGCATAAACACAAACAATTTAGTTGGAGCTAAGTGGCAAGTCATCAAAAGGAAAAAGACACCTTACCTGGAATTCTTGGCAAGGACCTGCCAAATATGGGAGCCAAGGTTTGTAGGGACAGAGAGAGAGAGAGAGACTAAAGTAGATAGGTAAGGCTGCTTTGCAGGAGAGAAACAGAGACAGTGAGAAAGTAAAAAAAAATCACCCCCAAGGGAGATGACCACGTCACAGTCCCTTTTCCTCTATTCTCCTCCTGAGATCTTCGGCAAGCACACACACATGCCTGGCATGATTTTCAAGCCACCGGGTCTGGAACTTGAACTATGGTCAGCCATGTGGGAATCCAGTGACATAACCACTACAACATCTGCTGGTCCCACATATTAAGATTTTTTTTTTTTTTTTTGGAGATTTTGGAGAGGTTTTTGCTATAGGGAGTGTGTACTTGCCAGAAAGACAGAGAGAGAGACAGAGAGAGAGAGAGAAAGACCGACAGAAAGCAAGAAATCACCTCCAAGGGGAGATGGCCACATCACAATCCCTTCTCCTCCATTCTCCTCTCGAAATGTTGGGCGGGCACGCACGCACACATGCCTGGTGTGAGTTTAAGTCACCGGGTCCAGGACTCGAACCATGTTCAACTGCATGGGAGTCCAGAGACATAGCCATTACGCCATCTGCTGGTCCCAAGGATTTTTTAATATGAGGGTTTTTTTGTTTGTTTGTTTGTTTTTTTGTATAGGGCATGTGTACTCATCAGAGAGACAGAGAGAGAAAGCCAGAAACCACCCTCCAGGGAGAATGGCTATGCCACAATCCCTTCTCCTCCATTCTCTTCCCAGGATTTTGGGCATGCATGCACATGCACCCGGCCTGAGTTTTAAGCCACTGGGTCCAGGGCTCAAACCACAGTCGACTATGTAAGTGTCCAGCAACATAATCATTACGCCATCTGCTAGTTCCCATTTTAAGGATTTTAAACTTTGCATACTATGGAGGTTATTTATACCTAAGGATTAGGCATAGAATCAAAAGACCTAGATTCGAATTCTGATTCTGCAAAGTACCAACTATGTGTTGTGGGGAAAATCAAGTTAGAGGTGTTATTTCTGCTTACTTACCTACGAAGTGGGATATTGCCTGCTCTTCTGTTTTCCATACACTTGGTCTGAGGATCAAATGAGATTTTGGATTTGGAACCAGGAGCCATTTGTATTCTGCTCCAAAGTCTCTCACACTTTCTCCACCACATTACATTCACTTTATTACTTCTGTTTTCTGAATGTTAGTTTCATGTTTCCTGCTAACTAAATTTTAAGCTCAAATGAGTAGAGATGTCTTTTGCTTTTTACTATTTAAAGAGTTTTCTGAGCCCACTCAGCATTACACAATCCAGTCCCTGGAAGTCTCACCAAGGAGACACGTCCAAGTGCAGGGAGGGTTCACTCGTCATACTGTCCATACCAAGTACAGCCCCCACATAGACACTGCACAAAGGACACAACATCATGGCCCAAGTTCACCAGGACATTCAAGAGTTTGTGACAATTATCTCAGACTTCAACTAAGCAGAATAAACAGAGCAGCCAGGAGTCAAAGGTTTTGCTTCTAAAGAATTTATTCTGCTTGTTTCAAGACTCAAGTTATGCAGAAATATGAAATACCTCTATCTTGGTTTTCAAAATGTGTTTACACAATTAGTTTAAAATAAGTCTGTAAATTTCCATGCATAAATAGGTAGGTGTTTTTCTGGACACACATCTTATCTCAATCTGTATGAGTAATTCACAACCTTGGGTTTTGAATCTCTGAAAGCCGTGGGGTTATTACAAGGAATCTGTATACTCCCATCCTCAGTCTAAATAAATTTTTTTTTTTTTGAGAGGTTTTTGCTATAGGGCGCGTGTGCTCGCCAGACAGACAGAGAGAGACAGAGAGACAGAAAGCGAGAAATCACCCCCCAGAGGGGATGGTCACGCCGCAATCCCTTCTCCTCCATTCTCCTCTCGGGATCTTGGGCACGCACGCACACGCGCCCGGCGTGAGTTTTAAGCCACTGGGTCCAGGACGCGAACCGCGGTCGACTATGTAGGTGTCCAGCGACATAGCCATTACGCTAACTGCTGGTTCCCTAAATAAATATGTATTTTTCAAAGTTTGCTATAAGGTGTGTGCACTCACCAGAGAGAGGAAGTGAGGGAACCCCCCTCACCCCGACCCGGGGATGGTCATGCTGCAATCCTGTCTCCTCCATTCTCCTCTTAGGACTTTAGGCAAACACGCACATGGGCCCAGTGTTTCTCAAGCCATTGGATCCAGAACTCAACTGTGTAGTCAGTCATGTGAGATCCAGACCTCACCACTATACCATGGTTGGCCCAATATGTCTATGTATATGCTGTATATCAACTGGATATAGATTGTGGTGTGACTAAGAAACTAAGTTTAAAGCATTACTAACATCACAGCAGCGTTTCTTATGCATTTTCATCAAAAGATACTAAAAATACAGGAGCCAACAGGTGGTGAGGTGGTTAAGACACTGGATTCCCACCTAGGCAACCGTGGTTTGAGTTCTGGACCCAGTGGCTTGAAATCATGCTGGATGTGTGTGCATACATGCTCAAAATCCCAAGAGAATGGAGAAAGGATTGTGGCATGGCCATCCCCCCAGGGGGTGATTTTTCTTTCCCTCTCTCTGTCTCTCTGTCTCTTTCCAGCAAGCATGTGCGCTTTTAAGTTTTTTTTAATGGCAAAATCCTTTAAAAAAGACAACAAAAAAGGGACTTTTGGAGCCAGCAGTTAGCATAATTAAGGTGCTGGATATCACATGGACAAATCCATAGGGAACAGCAGATGGTGTAATGGTTATGCCGCTGGAGTCCCATGTAGTTGTAGTTGACCGCCGTTCAAGTCCCAGGCCTGGTGGCTTAAAACGCAGGCTGCACGCTTGTGTGTGCATGCCTAAAATCCCAAGAGGAGAATGGAGGAGAAGGGATTGCGGTGTGGCCATCGCAACCCCCCCCCATCCCACAGGGGGGGGGTGATTTCTTGCCTTCCCTCTGGTGAGCGCAAACACTCTATAGCAAAAAAACTCTCCAAAAAAATATTCCATAGGTTAAGTCCCAGACCTGGTACTTTGAAAAACACACCAGGCAGAGCCAGCTGGTGGTGTGGTGGTTAAGAGTGCTGGACTCCGACATGGCCAACCACGGTTCAAGTCCTGGCCCTGGTGGCTTCCTCACTTTCCCTCTCTCTCTCTGTCTCTCTCTGGTCAAACTGAAAAATAATAATAAAGTTAAAATAAAATAACTCTTAAAAAGAGAGAGAGACCTCTGTATATTTCAATTTGAAAAAAAAAGAAAAACACACTAGGCACATATGCCTGCAATCCCGAGAACAGAGAATGGATTGTGGCCTGGTCATCCCCCCCCCAGGGGTGTGTGTGTGACTTTTCACTTCTCCCTCTCTGAACCTCCCAAGCGAGCACACACATTCTATGGCAAACCTTTTATTTTTTTGAGTTTTTTTTTTTTCGCTTATAGGGTGCGTGCGCTCGCCAGACAGAGAGAGAGAGACATAGAGACAGAAAGCGAGACAACACCCCCCAGGAGGGATGGTCATGCTGCAATCCCGTCTCCTCCATTCTCCTCTCGGGATCTTGGGCATACACGCACATGCGCGTGAGTTTAAAGCCACTGGGTCCGGGACGCGAACCACGGTCGACTATGTGGGAGTCCAGTGACATAGCCATTACACTAACTGCTGGTTCCCCAACTTTTTTTTTTTTTTTAAAGAAAAGGGGGACTTTGGGGCAAGCCAGTGGTGTGGTGGTTAAGACAACTGGATCCCACATGGCCTACTGCATGGTTCAAGTCCTGGACTTGGTGACTTGAGCAACACGGTGACTGTGTATACAAAAGTGCCCCAAATCCCTAAGAGAAGGTATTTCAGTGTGGCCATTCCCCCTGAAGAGTGCTTTCTCACTTTCTGTGTGCAGCAAATGTCCTACAGTAAATCAGTCAATTAATCAATCAGTGGGACTTCTGAGGTGACCACACAGTCTAGTGGTTAAGAGAGCCAGATCCCACATTGCACACCACAGTTTAAACCACAGCCCCTAGGGCTTGGAAACCATGCTGGGTGTGTGTGCATGCATGCCAAAATCCCAACAGGATTGTAAAGTAGAGAAGGGATGTGGTGTGAACGACCACCCCACGTTGGGGATGCTTTCTCTCTGGCAAGCCATTTATCATCTGGCAAATTTTTAAAAAGGGACTTCTGGGGCAAGCAGATTGTGTAATTATTACATTGCTAGACTTTCACATGGCTGACTGCAGTGTGAGTTCCAGACCTGGTTGTCTGAAACTCATGCTGGGCGAGTGTGCATGCGTGCCCAAGGTTCTGGGAGAATAGAGGAGATTGCAGTGTGGCCATAGCCCTGGAAGGTCACTTCTCATCTTCCCCCTTACTGTGTGTCTCTCTTTCGGGTGAGTACACACA